CTTTTGATAGATATCCAGGTTCCTCTTCTCAACTGAAACTGGAGTTCAAATACAGAGTGTGGGCTGGTATCTTGCAAGTTGAGTGGCTGACAGCTCTATACTGAGAATCTTATCTGGTAGAATACTGGACAAGTTACTTGACTGTCAACCTCAGTTTCCTCACCAAAAATATGGGCACAGTGAGAATAATCAGCATGGTTGGTATGAAGATTAAGATAAGCCCTGTGGCCTAGCATGGTGTTGTGGTGTCACACTCTTATAATCTCAGCACTCAGGAGACAGAGGCAGATGGAACTCTTTGAGATCAAGGCCAGCCTGATCTACATAGTGAGTTCCAGGCCAGCTGTGGCTACAGGGAAGCCCTGTCTCAAAAAGCATCCCCCGCAAAAGAGTCTTAAGCCCTGTGACAGATCCCAGCAAACAGCCTAACACAGAGGACATTGTTCTCACTGTTGGCCATCACAAGTGTCATTAGCTGTAGTCCTTTTGGGGTTAATCTTCCAGCTGGGTTGTTGTAAGGGTTTACAAAGGCAGGACAGTGGAGACATGAGACTGGTTCTGAAGTCCAATAGGCCTAAGATTCTTTGTCACTCACTGGCTACGTGACCCATTAGCCCTTACTTTATTGGGTTTCGGGTTCCTCTTCTGTAAAATGATGCTAGCCATAGCCATTGTAAAGTAGTTTTGTAAATATAGCTATAACATACAGAAAAATGCACAAATATAAACATGCAGCTGGCAGAAGTTCAAAAACTGGGTAGTGAGCGTCCAGGCTCAGTAACAAAACATGACTTACTATGTCAGAAGGCCCTCTCAGGGGCTCTCCCCATTACTATCACCCCCTAAAGGTAAGCATCATAAATTTTCTTTGCTTATCTTTTTTTCTTTCTTTTTAAGACAGAGTCTCACCATGTGGCCCTGGCTGACATAGAACTCACTATGTAAGCCAGACTTGAACACACAGAGATCCATCTGCCTCTGCCTCCTGAGTGCTGGGGTTAAAGGCAGGCACCACCATGCCCTGCTTTAAAAAAAAAAGTTATCACTATGTAACCTATACTGATCTCAAACTTGCATCCTCTGGCTTAGTCTCCCAAGTGCTGGGACTGTAGGTGTGTGCTACCACTTTCAATCTGGTTTGATTGTCTTTGAATTGTCTAAACTGTAGTCCATTTTGACGAGTGTAATAAATGTTATCATTTCACTGCAGCGTCTGATTCCTTTACTGGAAAAGAAGGCACAAAGTTTTCAGTACCCATGAAGGCCATAACCAGCTAGCAGGACTCCAGCTATTCACACTGGAAAAGAACAAGGTTTCTTTCCTGTCCCACTAAACGTTGCAGATAGGAAAGTCTTTAGGAATGGCTGGCGAGGACTTCTGCTTGCTCAGGTCGGCTCCCCTCAACTTCTCTTAGAAACCCTTCAGCATGTTACTGGGACTGGGGCTAGGGGGAGGGGTACAGGAAGCACATGGTTAAGGCATGCACGAGGACCATACACCCCAAAAATGCAGTTATTGACGCTTCCCCAGATACTAACTCTGACGTCCCCCAATGCCCTTTAAAAGAAGAGATAACTCAAAGATCTCTTCAGCATTTTTTCTTTTCCAGAGTACAGCCATTGCAAATTATACACATATAATTTTTTAAAAGAAAAAAAAACCCTTCAGTTTGGGGAAAGAAGCCAGGAAAGTTAGTGGCATTTTCTACCATACAGGTCTCTCTATGTTTGAGCTTTGCATATTTAGCTTGACAGAGTGCCCTTAGAATGTGGGCAAATCTTCGATGGGTGCTTGTGAATGGGGAGCCTGTTCTCCTCTGCCTAGCTGAGCCGGGGCTGCACAGCCAAGGACTGGCCTGAAAAGGGTTAAGAGGATGCTAACCAGCAGTCAGTAATGAAAGGCCACTTCACAGATTCCCACCATGTTTGATGCTGTCTGTGTGTCCTATATAACACCTCCAGTGAGAAGCTCTACAGGCCTGGTCTTCTTTCTTGAGGCCCTCCCTTGAGGCAACACAGCTTGGGAGAAACCTGGCTCTGAGCTGTGATAGGAGAGGCCTTGATGGAGACAGCCTTTCCTTCAGTTGCTCAATCAGCTGACAAAATATTTGCCTAGCCCATACCACCAAGGGAGACAACATATGCTTGCACAGTTAAGGGGACTGTGAGATTGTCACAGGGAAAACTCAATAATCAAAAAGCCAAGTGGAGAAGAAAGATTCCTCTCTCTTTAGCCAATGAAAGCTGCCTTGCTCAAGAAGCAGAGCTATGTCTAAGTTCCCCTAGTGGGCAGTAGCTCCCCAGATTCATACAGGGCAAGGTCAGAAGACCAAGAAAACACTAGAACAACCACATGGCAAAGGCTCATGGGAGAGGCCTGCTGTTCTCTGATTTTTATTTTTCAAAAGATATATTTATTTTTATTTTTGTATATATGGCTGTTTTGCCTGCATGCATGTCTGTGTACCACACACATGTCTGGTGCCCACGGAAGCAAGAAGGGAGATCAGATTCAGTAGAACTGGAATTATAGATGGTTGTGATCTACCATGTGGGTGCTAGGAACCAAACCCAGGTCCTCTGCAAGGGCAGACAGTGCTCTTACTGCTGAGCCATCTCTCCAGCCTCTGATCCTAATGTTTTGGATGCAGGCCCTCATATCCATACTAGTCATGCAAAAATCACATGCCAGATTTTGTCACCACCCCTACAAACTTAGCACTTGGTATTTGCCATTTGGCATGCATTATCTCACTCTCCAAAGACACCACCCTGTAGCTCAAGAATACTCAATTTTAGCAGCAAAGAAACAGGCATAGGCAGATTAAGTGATATGGCTGGAGACTGCACTCTCAGAGACTAATAGAGTTGCCTGTCACCAGGCTGCCTGCTTCTTTTAAAAAGTTTTTTTAAATATTTTATTTATTTTAATTTTATGTGTACGAGTGTATTACCTGCATGTATGTGAGTGCACCTGTGTCATGCAATGCCGCAGAGGTCAGAAGAGGGGATCACATTTCCCTGGAACTGAAGTTATAGATGGTTGCTAGCTGCCATTTGGGTGCTGGTAAACCGAACCCAGGTCCTCTGCAAGAGCAGTCAGTGCTCTTAACCTCAGTGGTTAAGCCATCTCTCCCAGGCTGCTTGCTCCTAAGGCTGCACATCACACAGTATCCCCATACTATGGAGACCCTATCTATAGTTTCTATGCAATTTATCTATCACCTCTGAAACTGCAATTATTGGAGCTTAATCTCCCTCATGATATATTAAGAGGGTCAGAATGTTGCTGGACTGTGGTGTCTCCAGAAGGGATCACTGGGAGATGATTAAGGGTTAGATAAGGTCATCAGGATTGGGCCCCTATGATTAAAGTACTGGTGGCTTTACGGGAAGGAGAAGACCCAGAGAACACTCATCTTCCTCTGGTCCCTTGCTATGTGATGCTCTGCATCGCCTTGGAATTCTGTCAACAAGAAGGCAATCAACAGCTGTGGGCCCTTGACCCTGGACCAAAAGCCAAAGTCTCTTTTCTCTCTTTCTTTTTCTTTCTTTCTTTCTTTCTTTCTTTCTTTCTCTTTCTTTCTTTCTTTCTTTCCTTCCTTCCTTCTTTCCTTCCTTCTCTCTCCTCCTTTCTTTCTTTCTTTCTTTCTTTCTTTCTTTCTTTCTTTCTTTCTTTCTGAGACAGGGTCTCATGTAACCCCAGGGTAGACTCAAATTGAATACCCCCAAGGTGGACTCAAACTCAATATATAGATAAAGATGACTTTGAATTCTCCTCCTCCTCCTCCTCCTTATGCTCCCACCTTACAGTCATTCATCAAGCAGTATTTACTGAGTGACTTCCATGAGTCGTGTATTGTGCTAAGTACTTGGAAGACAGCAATTAACAGACTGAGTACCTGCCTGCTGCCATGTGCTCTTCCACATGATTCTAACCCCCAAGATTCTGTGAGAAAATCATCACTTGCCTGGAAAAGTAACTTCTAGGAAAGAGGTAAATTCTGCTATGGTCAGCACATCAGATACACACTGATGCTTTTCTGCACCCAAAGAGCAAAAACAGGATGATGGTGTCTGCATAGAAATGTCTTTGCCCACAGACCGAGGCTTTACATCTGCTATGCATAAAACCCCCCACTTAGAAACCCACAGATCCTCCAAAGAAACAAGAAATTCATATATGGGCTTGACAACAGCAATGTTGAGCTCTTAAAATCATCTAGCCCCCAGCCTATGTACACATGCCAAAAACGTAAGAGGAAGTCATATTACCTGACTCCATCAGGCATTGGAAGCACAGTGCTTAGGTTCCATGAATACGTTTAGGAACCCACAAAGTTTTATTTTATTCTTCAAAGGAAGAATATACTATATATATGAAAAGTGAATCCACTCTGGATTATATTCATCTTTATATCTATGCAATTATAAATTGTCATTTATAATAGTTTATGGAGAAGGGGGACCAAGAAGACAAAACTAAGGTTCATGGAAGACATACTGTGACCCCAGTCTCATGTGCATGGCTTTCCCCAAACCTGAGTATTTTAATCACACATTATGACATAGCTTTCTTGACCAACAGACGCCCCTGACTTTGGGGTGAGAGAGGGATATAGCAAGAATCCTCATAGACCTCCCTCTGGCTCTGCCCTTGCTCACCAGATCATCCACTATTGGTTGGCAGTAGACTGGGAGCATCAGCATGGGACATCCTTTATCTTATCATGAATCTTTTGCCATGCCCCCAGGCCAATAGTAATAATAGTACTGATAATACTAACCATAGTTAACAGTTGTAGAGCTCTTATTTTGTGCTGAGCAGGAAACTAAGCATTAACATAGTCTAAGAAGTAATCACATAGTGAGCTAATTTGATTAAACTTCTCATTAGGCAGTGTGACTTGCCTTTTCCAGATATGTGGATGTCCGGCAGCATCTAGTACATTAAAGAACTGATCTTTCAGTGAAAGTCTCCTCCCTCCCAACATACTCACCATTCCTGAGGACCATATCTTCACTATGGCTTGAGGAGCTCAATCCCTGGGGCCTCTTAAGGTTGCTCAGAGCTCTGGAGAAGTGCTCATCCACTACGCTGCTGATGTCCCCTTGGAAATAGGTGAAAAGGACGCACCGGGCATTCCATTCAGTTTTTATCGGTTTCTGCCTAGTTCTGGGCAGCCGGACAGCAGTCTTTTTCATTTCTTCCATTGTAAGTAACAAAAGCTGCAAACCAAATGCAAAGTATCACTGGCACTATTTTCTCAAGTGAGTTGGTTGCAATTTGGACAAATGACATTTTCTTTTCTTTTTTTTCCTTTCATTTATTTCTTCTTTTTTATTTTTGGGTATTATTTTAGACAAGGTCTCACTCTGTAACCCTGGCTAACCTCAAACTCAGAGAGATCTGCCTGCTTCTGCCTCCTAAGTGCTGGGATTAAAGGCGCACACCACCATTCCCAGCTTTTGTTTCTTTTTTTTTCTTTCTTTCTTTCTTTTCTTTTTTCTTTTTTTCTTTTTTGAGACAGGGTCTCCTTGTAACCCCAGCAGGCTTGTACACCAGGATGGCCTCGATATCATGGAGATCTCCTGCCTCTGCCTCTGAGTGCTGGGATTAAAGGCATGTACCACCAGACCCGTTTAGCTCATTAAAAAAAAATAACTGTACATACTAATAGGTTTCACAAGGACATTTTAGCACATGTATATAATGTACTTTGGTCATGTTGCCCACATGCTTTCTTCTACCAAGTACAGGCTTTCATTGGATCCCCAAGTTCTTGGACAACAACAGCAATGTTGGATTGGTCTGAGTATCATCTGGCACTAAAAGTCCAGTCTAACCAGGGCTCAGGAAATGACATGCTTAAGCTCTTCTGAGTCCTAATAGTGGCCTTACTTTGTAAAAGAGAATCATCAAGCAGCACAACTAGAAAATCACCAGGAGAGGCTGTGGCAGAGCACTGAGGCCAAACAGCAGAGGGACCTGCCCTGTAGAGAAGTGCAGTCCTCCCAAACTCATGAGCCAAGGTCAGCAGAGAGCTACCTGAGGCACAGCTTCCCTGGCAAGCTTAGCCAAGCAACCTAGCTTGTGCTGGATAATTTCAGCCTGCACAGTAAGTGTTGCTTTCTAACCTAACCACTTTCATGCAAGAGACTAAATGACATCAGATCTTCCAGGCCTGATGCCCTAATCTGGTCCTGAGACCATCCTGCATTGAACCCAACTCCATCTTCCAAACCAGCTATTATAGCAATGCCAGTATTAAAGTCTTCAGACACATGTATTCTTAATAAAAAAAGAAATCTCCAGAACCCAATTTTATTATAAAATATCATATCGACATTTGTAAAAAAAAAAAAAAAAAAAGCGCCTAAAAGACTGTGTGTTCTGTTTACCCCTGCAACCTTTGTGTGTAGAAGGGCCTGGAACACAGATAATGCTCAATTAGATGTTTACTGAATTGCCTTTAACTTGGATTGCATCATTTCCATCAGCATGTCCTACCTTGCCAGTCCTTCCAAATCAGAGTTTCTATTTGTACCAAGGTCAGGGTCTGTCACAGACTCAGGACACGTTGTAGCCTTCCTCTACTAGGGAAGTAGCCTGCCTGGGGGTGCTTCTTTACCTTTAGCCACACACTCTGACTTGCCGTGTGCTCCGGCCAAATAGAAATTTCATCTATTCAATCTGGCATACCATGAAAAATGACTAGAGTTCAATAGATTGCCTCCACCTCTAGTCTATGAGATCTTTTGTATCATGGGGTACTTTTATGAATTTCCTTATCCCTAGCACCTACCATGAAGTAGGTGCTCAATAAACAATGGCTGAATGACTGAAAGCCCTTTAGTGTAGCGAAAGCACAATATAAGGGCATCATGTTAGATTAGGAGACAGAAGGCCTGGGCTTTTCCTGAGCTACACAACTTTGGGGAGAATTACAAAGCTTTCTGGGCTTCGTATTAGTCTTGTAAAAGGAAGGATTTGAGTAGCGTAAATTCTTCAGCCTAGTCTTTTCTGGTACTACTGGAAATGTCAACATTATGCTATAGATATTAGGAAGGATCACGGCAATCAGCAGGGGCTCTCCCTAAAACCATCTTCTTTCTGAATCATTCTAGGCCAGCCATAACTGGATTATATTGTCTAGAGATGCCTTTGGCCGAGCATCATTATTCTGTTTCTCCTGTGCTATGTATAACCAGACACTCCCTAAAAACTGAATCCATTGCATATTTATTTTGAAAACTGTAAAGCTACCACTTTTAAAAACTGGTAGCTTCTTTTTCTTTTAAAAAATTAGTCTGGATTCATTGTAGAAAATGGTGGGTTTCCTCATGACATTTCCATGCATATATGCCATCACACTTTGCATTCACCTTCTCCCGTTATTTCTCCACCTCAACTAATCACCTTCGTCTTCCCAAATAGTCAGACTTCTACGTAAATATCGTGTGTGTGTGTGTGTGTGTGTGTGTGTGTGTTTATTCCACATGTAAGAGAAAATATGCAATATTTATCACTCTGAGTCTGGCTTATTTCACTCAACACGATGATCTCCAGTTCCATCCACTTTTCTGGAAATGACATAATTTCGCTCTTAATGGCTGAATAAAACTCCATTGTGTATTCATACTACATACTCTTTATCAAGTAATCTGTTTCTTATAAAGGTGAATATGGTCTAAACAGAAGACTCAGTAACATTATTTTTAGGCACATATAACCAAGATAAATTAAAGTTATGTACACACAAATACTTACACATAAGCTTTCACAGCAATTTAAAAAATATTTTATTATTTTTATTTGATGTGTATGAGTGTGTTGCCTGCATGTATGTGAGTGCACCCATGTCATGCAATGCCATGGAGGTCAGAAGAGGACTTCGGAGTCCCCTGGAACTGGAGTTAAGGACGGTTCATAGCCGCCATGTAGGTGCTGGGAATCAAACCCGGGTCCTCTGCAAGAGCAGTCAGTGCTCTTAACTGCTGAGCCATCTGTCCAGCCCCACCACTTTTATTCCTAACACACCCAAAAGGAAACTACACAGATGCCTATTACCAGAGTAACTTTCCTGTGACAGACACAAACAATGGAATATTACTCAGCAATAAAACACAATAAACTACCAATCCACACAACAGAGATGAATCTCAAAAACTATTGTTTTAAATGAAAAAGCCAAATACAAGAGGCCACATACTATATGGGCTCACTTATATGAAACAAGCACAAACAATCTATGGGGTTAAAAGTCAAAATAGTGGTTGCCTGTGACGCAGAGATTGAGTAGGTAGGGGCAAAAGGGAAACCTCATTGGTGTTGGAAATATCCTGCATCTTTTTTTTTGTGGGTGGAAGCATATGAAAGGATTTCTCTGTGTAATTCAGGCTTGCCTCAAACCCATGCTTCTCTTGCCTCAGCCTCCTGAGTACTGGGATTACAAGTATTCACCATCATGTTCAGTCATTTCCTCCCCAAGTCTTAATGAAGGTGAGTTACTACATTTGTCAAAACTCATCAAATTATACAGTTAAGATCTATTTCACAATACATGGACTTTTCCTTGATTAAAGCACAAAATATATTCAGCCTCTTGGAGTTGGAGATCCAAAGTAAAGGGGTTGGGAATGATAAAGGAATGATGATTGGGAAAGCTGTACTGTTTTAAAGCTACAGTTTATCGAACCTACCTGCTCAGTGCCAAGCTGTGCACGTATGTCTTCTCTGGTTGATATGACTTTCAAAGCAGCCATTATTATCTCCATTTTAAAGCAAGGAAAGTGGGGCTTAGAGTGGGTAAAATAAAACTAGGTGGTGGCAAAACTGGCGTTGGGATCCAGGTCTCTCTGGTTCCAACCTTTGTCTGCTTCTTGCAACAACTTACTGCCTACCTGATGAGAAGAAAAGTCCTTTTCCCTCTCCTATCCTCAGTGTCCCCATCTATCAAATGTGGGAACAGAGCTGATATCTAATCCCTAGGTGGCCATGAGCCAGTCCTATGAGTTCCCTCAAGGAATGCAGCATAGCCTCTGTCCTCTCCCCCAGGGCTTCCCCCGAAGCCTCCAACTGCCTGCTGCGGGGCAGGATAGCACCTTTGGAGCACTCTCCTCTCATGCTCTACATTGCCAGCAACCACTGTGCTTGGTTCAGGCTTGAAGGGGCCTGTAATATCACTTTGCTAACTGCCCCCAAAGCCACACAGAATTGGTCAGATTCTTGGGGTACCATGGCCACAACCACATTTCTAGTCTCCTTTGGTACAAGAGAGAGCACAAGGCAAAGGTTAGTGATCATTCCACAGCTCGTGTTTTAGCACAGCTCACTTGGAGGGCTCATACTGTGTGCAAGTAGAGACCCGAATAAACCACAGGTTCTACCTCTGCCTCTCTCTTCTTCTTCACACAAAGCAATACACACAGAGAAGGGAAATGTCTCTGGATCCACCCCACAAGAAATTCTCTGGGCTGAACTTGACTCCATTGGACAAAAATTGTAGTTGAGGCATATTTAAATCCTGAGAGTTATACTGGGTGTTGTGGCATACCCAAATGGTTCCAGCTCAGGATTCCCTTGAGCCCAGGAGATCAAGACCAGCCTGGGCAACACAGTGAAACCTCCAACTCAAAAAACTTGAGTAAATAAATTATAAAAAAGAAATGTATTTTGAGAATTATCATTTGGCTTAATCCTATAAAGAGCTAAGCTTTGCTACATCCTTATGAAAAACTTGAATGCCTTATCAACCAAGCAGCTTTGTGCAAGCATTCACTAATGAAGGGAGGGGCAGTCCTGTCTGAAAGAAAGGGATGCTTCAAAGCTGCCTCTAAGGAGATGCCAATCACAAAAGCAAAGACTCAGGAGGGCTCCAAGTAGACCCTGAAATATTATCCAAACTACTGTAGAACATCTGTAAACAAGGAATCCAAACCCGACAGTTAGGCCTCCAGTCTGCCGCACAGAGGCTATACACTTCCGCAAAATACATCAAGTGCTGAGGTCGGGTGTGGAGGCAGTGGGGGTAGTTGTCACGATGATCAGTTGGAGAAAAAGCTCCCAAAAGACCAGATTGTATCTCACTGAGCATAGCATATGATGCCCTACAATTCCTTCCCAGGTGAATTTCCATCCCTTTTCCTGCTCCCAAGTTCCCTGTTTCTCTTACCTTAATTCTGGACAATTACCTGAGACAGCAAAATCCTCCTGTTTTA